GATAGATAGATAGATAGATAGATAGATAGATAGATAGATAGATAGATAGATAGATAGATAGATAGATAGATAGATAGATAGATAGATAGATAGATAGATAGTTTATTAATCCCCTGTAGGAGAAGTTCAGGTTACCATTAACAAACGGTCACACATGAATAAATGATAACAGAATTTAAATGAATGAGTTCCTAGTAATAAAACCAGAGAATGGAGGTCAGAGGTCAGATTGTGCTGACCCCTGACCTTTGACCTTTGACCCCCTCGGCCCCCCAGGCATCGTCTACGTGCGGGACACCACGCGGGGGGGGCTCTGCTCCTACCCGGTCTTCAACAACGGCATCAACGGGGCGTTCTGCCGCACCGAGGCCGGCCAGACGGCCGCCATCATCTTCCTGTTCGTTACCATGGTGACGTACCTGATCGGCGCCATCGTGAGCCTGAAGCTGTGGCGCCACGAGGCCAACCGCCGCTACCGGGAGCGCTACGGCCAGGAGGTGAGCCAAGGGATGGAGGTCCAACTCCGCCCACATCCAAGTCGGCCATTTTGATTAGGTCACCAATAGGAAGATCCCAGGCAAGAAAAAAAATGGATATGTTAAATAGGTTTGTACAATAAGTCCAAACAAGTTTAAGCAAAAAATATTTATTTCTCACAATTATGAAGGGTCAGGGTTAGGGTTAGGTTTAGGGTCAGGGTTAGGGTCAGGGTTAGGTTTAGGGTTATGGTTAGGTTTAGTGTTAGGGTCAGGGTTAGGGTCAGGGTTATGGTTAGGTTTAGTTTTAGGGTCAGGGTTAGGTTTTAGTGTCAGGGTTAGGTTTAGGGTTAGTGTTATGATTAGGGTCAGGGTTAGGTTTAGTGTTATGGTTAGGGTTACACCTGGAAACCCTACTCTGGGTCCTGGTCTCCTGCCTCCTGATTGGTGGACTCATGTTTCCATGCTTTGCCTGCAGGTGGCGCCCTCCGAGATGCGGGTGGTGCTCTCAGCGGTGAGTCTCCCATCGGCAGGATATCCAACTCCTCCCACATCCAAGTCGGCCATTTTGATTAGGTCATGTGACTAGCAGCTTTCTGAGGTGGAAACGACACTTTACTGTCTATACGAAATTGGAAGATAAACAATGTCCTGACCCTAAACCTAACCCCTGACCCTAAACCTAACCCTGACCCTAACCCTAAACCTAACCCTGACCCTAAACTTAACC